TTTCCCCTGAATGCCAAAGTGAAGTTTTGCTACTTCGTGTAAGCCTTGGTTGTAAATTCAGGTTACGCTGCAGCAGGTGCCTTGAGGGTAACCCCTGTGGTATTTCTGGGAATGACAAGTGCCTGAGAATTCAAACTCTTCAATAGACTGTTGTTGTGTTACTGGAATGTTTCTCAGTGAGTCCTTCAGTGCGGACCTGTGTTCTCTGCGCGTTTTGTGAGTTGAGAGTGTTGTTCACCGCGTCTGAGTGACTTCGATCCGAAGTAGGTAGTCCAAACCGGGTTTCCTACACTAGCAGCAAGCTAGTGGAAGCGTTGTAAAAGCCGGAGTTGGAAGTCACTGCCCGTAGCTTTGCCGAGTGTGCTTGAGAGAGACTTTCCCCCTGAAATCTTGAAGTAGAGGTCCTAACGGATCTCTGGGTTGTGTTTCTGTAGTTTCAGGTGTGTGTGTGTGTGTGTTACGCTGCACTGTGCGACCTCCGAGTGCGCTCCGAGTGGACACTTGCAGTATTTCTGGGAGTGACAGTTGCCTGAGAATTCAAACTCCTCAATAGTCTGTTAAAACGTGACACTTTGTACCCTGTGTGTTCCTCTGTCCCTGTGGGTTCGACCTTTCTACCACTATATTGCAGTTTTAGCCTTTAGTGGGTTATTACAAGTTGGACGGTCTACCTCCCTTTCCCTGGCTTTCACTGAACGAAGGCATCGCAGAGGCTAGAAACGAGAGTCTTCCCTCCCCATTATGTTGAACACGTCGGCCTCCTTGTCGGGCTCAATCCTGGCTAGTGATAGAGCACTCCAACCTCAAGCCGATATCTAATGTTGACTTAGTGGCAAGTGGAGGTTCTAAAAGTTGAAAATGCACAAATGTCATGTCGCCATCTCAATCTAAAGATTAGTAAACATTTAGAAAGTTTAGAAGATCAATGACATATTGCCATGTATCAGTAACTAGAGAAACTTATAATGATTTATGTTTATAAAAATAAGTTAGATAGAAATTACCATTTGTTACTATGGTAACTTCTCAAGTAATTATATAGAGAGGTAGGTAAAAGTATTTGAAGAAAGTTTAGAGAGTTCATATGTATAAATTTGTTCCATATATGAAAGAGTGACGTTTTTTTTCAGCATCTTGGAGTGTTAACATGTGTGTGAATTTGAGTGATGAATTGAAAGAATGTGTGAGAGGATGTTTGGGATATGAATATGAATCTAGTATTCTAGAACCATCATAAGCTATCGCAAAGCCATTTGAGGTAAACATGAGTGAGAATCAATCCAGAGGTTGCAGTACATATCACGTCACGTAGCCACTTGTCAAAACCTCACGCGTCTATGGGATTGATGTGACGACCGATGGGATGATGTATTGCTGGCTTGAATTAACGTGGCTTTTGGAGGGTTATGTGGCACGTGCTACATGATGACGTGACGTACGGTGGGAGATTGACGTGTCACTCGAGGATCAAAAAGTATTGTCGCAAGTGGTGCATTTGTCTTCAACGCGATGTGTTTGCGCTGCGCATGTGCACATCTGCTCATCGCCAACGTGCACTCGTCCGCACTATCCGACTATTGTCGCTCGTGCTCGATCGCAAACTGCTTTTCAATATCTCTATTTTCTCTATTTTTTAAATTATATATTGAATTTTGCCCATCAACGTTTGACTTTATCATCACTTGTGCTCACAACCTCTTAAAAAAATTAAATTGTATAATCTGCATCCGCTTGGTTCACACTCTTGTTGCCCACGCGATTTTTCTAAGATTTGTCAATTTTGCCTCTGATCTTTCACTGACCATTTCCACCAAAGTCCTACTGACAATTGAAATTTCAATGCTCTCCACATCATCTTCTCTAAGATCTTTGAAAGCACATATAGATGCACGTCGACACAGGTCAAATTTTTCTATGCACCAAGTCGTCATCCTGGCATCTCACTCACTCATCTCATCCTACTCACTTGTTGACTTTCCCACCAGCTCCTTATCCAAACCAATTTGCAAACTAACAATCTTCTTCCACAATCATTATGATTCATGATGGAATTTTCCTCGGTTCAAGACACGGCACATTTTTTGAATTTTAAGTTGATTGTACATCGATATCAGATCAGTGTAGCAGAACGTAACTAAAATGCAAAACAACTCCCACAAGACAAGATTGATAGGAATTATTCATTGTTGCAAGATGGTCCCAAATTCATATGTAGGTCGGTGTAAAAGACTCTCTGTCTGAGGACAAAGAGTCACTAAGTTCCAAAATCCATATCAGATTGTCAAACTCCCAGCACATCCGCGCCTAACTTTTCTTATGCAAAATTTGTACAAACTGCCAAAGAAAGTGAGGCAAAAAAATACCATGCACTTCAAGATGAAGAACTAAAATCTAAGGGAACAGAACACGAGAACGTCGGACTAATGTCGAGGAAATTAGTGAGTGGTACGATTATCTTCTTGCAGGTCGCGAGCAAGCAAAAGGGATGATAAACTTCTAGAGAGGATAATAGTTGAACAAACTATTCTCCTCGCTAGAAGTTTAGAAAAATAGTATTCACTGAAGATTCTTGTCTTGTCAAAGTGAGAGAAAGATGACGGGCCAAGGAATAAGTTTCCGAAGCAAGCAAACCGATAAGAAGTTTTTCCACCACTCTACAAGCTTTCTATGTCTTCATCAAACACCATACCCTTGAATTTAATGTGATACTTCATCCACTCTTCAAAATATATCAAACGAAAAGTGAAGTATCACCGTGTTATACTCTAGAAGCTAACCTTTGCAAAACTAAAAGTACTTTTGTCGACAATGAAGGAGACGCAAACCCAAAAGAAGTTACTTTCCTCTGACTCACAAAGATCTTTTGGCTCAAAATGTGACTTTCCTCATAGTCTTTAGCAAATTCTAGAGAAGAATTGAAGCCTCTCATGTGCGACATCAAAGCCAAGTGGATAAATTTGACTTTGACTTCACGAACAGATCTTGCACATCGACAACATCACCACCAGCCTAGAAAAACCTTACAATGTACGATTTTGAAGTCCTTGCTCTAATAAACTCGCCTTGACAAATTCTCTAGTTTGAACTCATTGCCCGAGACCTCAACAAATTTTCTTCTGGATTTGTAGTTTGAACTTGATGGCTAGAATCTCGTTTAGATTACTGTCACAAGACTCAAACATTGTCACAAAAAACACAATCGCTCTGAAACCATTTGTCAAAGTTAAATTCGAGAATAACTAAATAGAAGTGACAATAAATTCATGTAAAACACAAGTAAACATGAGACACAATATGTAACGTAATTCACCTTTTGAGAGCTACGTCCATGGAATGTAACGAGGTTCAACCTCTGAGTGCTACGTCCACATCCAGGGAAAAACTTTGCGCGTATATACAGATGATGAGAAGAACAAAGAAAATACAATGAATCTCTAGAGTTAAGTACCCCAAATCAGGCGATGGCTAGCTAGATTTATCTAGCTAGATGTTAAACCAAAACATGAGTTAAACTTAACCCGATTGAATTCTTAATCTACTCACATTTTTAATTATTTAGAAAATTTTTGATCAACATCTATATGAAAAATTGATGTAAAAATATTCAAATGTTTTTATTTCATAAAATAATTTAAATCAATAAAATCCTAATTCTAAAATAAAACAGGATTATTAGTAAAGAAATTAAATTTTTATGGATTTTTTTAGATTATTTCATTTTTCAATCATTTTTTTCTGGATAGATGAATGCATGCATACATTTTTTTTATGTGAATGAAGCTCTAAAAGACTATACATAGATTAATTTCCAATTCTGAATTTAATTTAATGATTTTTCTACAAAATCGAATCAAACATTTGAAAAAGAAGAGATTTTTCAATAATCAAAATCTGGTTAAAAAAATTTCATTTTCTTTTATTTGTTTATATGAAATATAATATGATGGTGGAAAAAATTTCTTGGTCTGTTTATTTTATTGGACAGTCTTAGATTAATCAAATTCTTTTTCCCTATTCTCAAAATATATTCTGTTGTTGTAAAGTGAAATGAATCAGATGGAGAATTTAGCGATTATTGAAATAAGTCTACGAAATTCATGTGATGGATATGAATATATATGTAATTTAGTTTCAATTTTTTAATCTTACTGCAAATATTTTCTTTATGTATCTAAAACGTGCTTATTTCCAGATTACTTCTTTATGCTTTGTGTAAGATTAATTCATCTCACATAGAATGATATGGAGACGAAATTTTGGACTGTGAAACTGTTTTTGAGAATTCTAGAAACCATTCATCCTCAACTTGTAAGAATGAGTGAAGAAAAAAGCTTTCTAAGATTGCAACGAAGTAAAGCAAAACTAAAAATCAAGTCGCAAAGACTAGAAATTAGATGTTTAAGGTAGAAGGAAAAGATAATTTTAAATAAATAGTAACTGAACAAACAAGTAAAAATATGAAATAATTTGAAATCATAAATAAAAATTCAAAGTCAATTTCAACTGCTATCATGTATGTGAGTATCATGGATCATGACTTCCAATCCTTTCCAATCCTGTCCACCCCATGCAGGACGAAACGCGATGAGAAATAGGTCCGTACAGGTGAGAATCAGAATTAGAGAATCGAATGAACGTGTCTTCCCGACTTGTAGACGCTGAGCAGCAGGCAGCCCTTCCAATCTTGGTCTGCAGCTGCAACTGGGCTTGTCAGCTTGCACTAGCCGAGAGTTGACAAATCTCATTCTAAGCAGCTTGGAGGATGCGTCGTCCGTCCGTCGAGCGAGTCCGTTGAGCTTGGCGGCAGATTTGAACATCCAACTAGGCAGTATGCTTGCTGTTGGATATCAGCTGTAACGCAGATCCCGACAGAAACCTTCACTGACTCTCCCATCGACCTACAGTGTAGTGTCCATGACACCATGCGATGCTTCACGACTGCAAATCAAAAGCATAATGGAAACGTCCAAAGGAGACATAGCAGCATGGAACTGCCACGTTCAGGGCGTGGTGCTGTGCTGCATGGAGCTCGGACTCGATGGAGTTCCACCTTTCTGGTTACGCCATGAAGTCCCGTGGACATGAATAGGAAAAGGTTGTGGCAAATCACCAGCCTCCGATCCAGCCTCACCATCACGGTTGCTGTCATCCAAGACCGCGGTGCGAGGAAACACTACGGTGGGTGGCTGGTCCTCAAAGTCGTAAGGTGGACTGCGAACTGCAGTGACCATGTGGGTGTGGGAGTGGAGCGTCCCCATGAACAGCATTAACAGGATCAAGAGCTGCAGCGTTGCTTTCGCCTTCATATCCATCATGTGGATTCCTACGAGGTCGATTCGGATGACGAATAAATACGTGAAAATCCTCGGATCAGCACCGAACGTGCTTGCTTGATATCAATAGTAACGTAACTGGAGCTCACTGATTAACACAGCTCCCTTTGCAGTTCCTTACATAAAAGTGCGCCCACAAATTTTGAGCTGCGACTTCACACCGGGTACTACAAAGAGTGACTGTAGTTCACCAAGCAGCTTGATTAAGACTGTTCTTCAGCGCACCTTCACCTGATAAGTCACAACAATCTCAGACCATAAGAGCGATATAAATCAAAATAAGTAGAAGATGCCTTCTGTAACTACATATTTTGACCCGCACTAGCGTTTTCTGGGAATAGCAAAAACAAAGCTTACATCGGGAACAAGTCTCGTAACTGAAGAATCGATAAATAGTACATTGTGAGTGAATAGAACAACTCTCGGTAACTGAAGAACTGACAAATTGGACATTAGAAGTGATCGGGAACAACTCTCTCTACCAGAAAAAACCAATGAAGCGGACATTGTAATGGATGAAAACATTGTAATTGTGCAGTATATGTGTATTTGAACTGCTCCCAAGGTACAGGTGTTTTGCGGTCCACCTCCGAATCGATTCTCCAAGCATTTACAAGCCTGCGAACAAACACATATGTTTCGGCAAAAAAACATCTTATCTAACTTAACTCAGAGCAGATTTGGAGAACTCACTTGATATGCTTGGAGACGCAGAGCAAATTTGTTGGATTGTAGAACTCTCAGAAGTTTAGGTGATTTAGGAAATGCAGAGAAGTCTGGATAGATCTTATGAAGTTTCGTGAGATTCCACAACGTAAAAGTGATATACAAATCAGTTTACGTTGTGGAGTCGGACTCCAACGTAACTTTACGTCGGACTCCGACGCAAAGTCGAGCCGTTAATATAATCGTTAGAACTCGTTCTCTTATCATATAAGTATTTGAACGTGCTAATGAAAATATCAAATATTGAAAAATCTAGTACTATAAATTCTAAGTATATCTTTACTAATTTATAGAATTCGGTAAAGAATGGAAATAAATTAACCTGAAAATTGAGATAAAACCAATAATCATTATAATGACTTTCAATAAATTCATGAAATATTTTCTAAAATTAAATCATTAATGAATAGATTTATTGAAAAATTTTCAGGTCATCTTAAATCTCATATGTATTTATTTCATGTAAAAAAAATCTTATAAATGAAATAAAAACAACTGAAATAACATGCAAGTGTATATAATTTGATGAATAATTAATGAATTTTTTAATTATCTTAGGGATTTGTGATCTTCATAATAAAAACAATTGGAATCTTACATTTAATAAATTCAAATTTCATAATCAACACAAGTCAAAGATTGAAATTAATTATTTTTCATTATATATAATTTTATGAATTAAATAATAAAATAAAATGTATTTTATTTTATTTTTAATTCAAATATGTATCAATAGATTTGTATAATTTATTTGAAAAAATTTTCAATTTAAACATATAATTTATTTGTTCCCGTTGACGTAGCCCAAAAGGACAAACTAAGTATATTTTTTGTGTTTTTGGTCTTTTTGTGTTGTGATTTCTGTCAATTGAGCTTATCAGTTGATATCAGAGTGATGCATTTTCTGCAAAGAAGATTTCTCTTTGTCTCAACAAGGAAGTATTGTCTACCGCTGAGGAGGTAAACAGCTGGATTAAGACTGCTCTTCAGCACAGCTTCACCTGATAGATAAGTCACACAACAATCTCAAACCATAGAAGATGCCTTTTGTAACTACATATTTTGACCCGCACGAGCGTTTTTTGGGAATAGCTCTAGCAAAAACAAAGCATATATCGGGAACAAGTCTAGTAACTGAAGAACCAATAAATAGGACATTGTGAGTGAATGGAAAAACTCTTGGTTACTGACAAAATGGACACTAGAATTGATCGGGAACAACTCTCTCTAATTGGTAACTGAAGAATTGACAAAATGGACATTGGAAGTGATCGGGAACAACTCTCTCTACCTGGTAATTGAAGAACTGACAAAATGGACATTAGAAGTGATTTGGAACAACTCTCTCTACCCAGTAACTGAAGAACTGACAAAATGAACATTAGAAGTGATCTGGAACAACTCTCTCTACCCAGTAACTGAAGAACTGACAAAATGTACATTAGAAGTGATCGGGAACAACTCTCTCAACCTGGAAATTAAAGAACTTACAAAATGTACATAGAAGTGACCGAGAACAAATCTCTCTACCAGGTAACCGAAGAACTGACAAAATGGATATTAGAAGTGATCGGGAACATCTCTATCTACCAGAAACAACCTATGAATCGGACATTGTAATTGATGAAAACTTTTTGAGTGGGTACAGAATATGTGCATGCTTGAACTGCTCTGAAATTTCAGGTGTTTTGCTACACTCCTGGATTCTCCAAATCTAAGTGTGTCGGTTGAGGGCTCATGGTTTGATGTTACACCCTGGGAAGTGTAAGTTCTTCCAGGAGAAGGTTGAGTACTTGGGTCATGTAATATACCCAGGTGGTTTAGGAGTTCAGCAAGCAAAGGTGGAGGCTATTGCACGCATCGGTCGTCCCACAGATGTGAGTAGAGTTTGTGCATTCATGGGTTTGGCAAACTACTACAGGAGGTATGTGAAGGGATTCAGTGCTATAGCCAAGCCTTTGAACCAGTTGCTGAAGTCATATACCAGTTGCACACTGATTGGAGTATGTTGGGACTTGGAGCAGTGTTGACGCAGTGTGATGATGAGGGCAAGGAGTGTGTGGTGGCGTACGCTAGTCGTTCGAACAATGCAGCGGAGTCGCGGTATAGTTCGTATGAGGGAGAGTGCTTGGCGGCGATGTGGGCTGTGGCTAGTGTTGGAGGCACACCCTCCAGAGGCATGCCCGGGGGCGAGGGCACGAGAGCATGCCCATGGGCATGCCCCGATCACAAAAATATATACGGGCATGCCTGTATGTATTTATTACATGCGTAATTGACATTACCGTTTATGAATTAATACTAATACCAACCATGAAACGTGTCACCATTTAAATGATTGTACGTGTCATTCTTTGACAAAAGGTTGATGTGTCACTCTAAAAAAATTATAAATGATCTGCTACTCCTCATTGCGCGTCTTCTTTCAGGAGACGGTTTACGGCACACTCTAAAAAAAAACAACATATCTGCTCTTCCCTTTACTCCGCCTCATTACGTGTCTTCTTTCAGTAGACGGTTAACGGCACACTCTAAAAAAATGAAATCTGCTCCCCCCTCTCTTACTTGTGCACTGCTCGCACATTCACACGGTTCTTATCGTCTTTTCGTTGACTTCGTATCCTTATAAGTTCAAAGTCTGAAGATTAGGTTTATTCTTCCAAAGGTTTCGTTTCTCAGGTGTAGTTCAATCTAGAATTTCCGCCCAAACCTTGGAATGGTATGTTTGTCTTTAGACAGCGGCTGAACTTGTTGCAGAAAAATCTTAGAACGCGGAGGAAGCACAAGAACCTACGAAGGCAATCAAAGATCACGAACGAAGAACTGAAGGTCGAGAGGTATGACACAATGCTCTTGCTTTCATTGCTACCTTCTTGAGTCCTCGTTCCTTTGTTCTTCTTTAATCACTAAGATGAGTTTTTGCACTATCTGCCATATGCCTAGGGTACCTTCGGCAGATTTTGATTGCCCAACTAAATTCAGTTGCCCTTAATCCTCAGTCATATCTTCTTTGTGCTTGCTCACATATAATTCTGCGCATTTATTTCGCAATTGTATGGAAATGTTGAACACCCCGGTGAGTAAATGAGGCGCGATCTCCTGGCTCTCGAGCTTTCTGACTTCTTGTCATCTTACTTCTAGCCTGCTTTCTTGACTGGAATCTAAGGAGTAAGGCAGAGACCCGAGCAAATGAAATCTCAGTGGTTCGTCTTCAGTCTTGGTTTTGGCCCTTCGGCACTTTCTTTACTAGTTAAGGCCGTCTTCAATGATGCGTGGCGACAAGCGTGAGCTCAGTTTCTCTCGGGTGTACTAACTTTCCGGAGTTTTTGGAGCCTGTAATGATGTGCTCGTATGAGTGTAGGGCATTCAACGAATTCATTCACTTTCTTCTCAGTCACAACTAGTTCCAGCTACTACTAACAAATCGCTCAGGCATCAAGCCATGCAACTAAAGTAATGACATCCTACGTAATTCTGGTGTATGCTTTGAGAAATATGTATACATTTGACCCACTCTCTATATCTCTGAGCGGAACCAGTTTAACTACAAGTGATTCCGGTTCTGGTCCTTGTACTGGACTGGCGTTTTCCGCGTTTCCGTATGTAATATACTTATTCTCAATGCTTCATCCTCACTCTTCTGAATTGCAGTAATTCAAAGGCAAAAAACCGAATAAATCTCTCTCTGTAAAGCCCCTGTCATCTGACCACGATCTAGAGCTGCCCAGCATCTCTAAGAAGTTCTCAACCGAGAGCTACCCAGCATCTCTAAGAAGTTCTCAACCGAGAACTACCCAGCATACTGTTGCGGTTTTCATGATTCTTCATGATTGGCTAGACGAGAAGAGGAATCGGAACATGAGTCGTTAAGTGTGATCCGTCATAAAAAACTATGATTTGTATTTTACAGTATGTTACAACAGACTTCATCTGAGGGCTTACATTGTGTCAGCTGGCTTTACGCACTTTTGAAGATGGTCTAAAGTCTTTCCCTCTTTTCTGTCTCGTTCTCTTCTTTGTTGCAGAGAGCTCAAGGAAATCAGCTCGTCTGAAAGGTGTTACCAACTTTTTGTTGGATTCTCATCTCTCAGGCCCTATCATCATTTAACTTTTCAGGTATGAAGCGGTGAATCATAAAATAAGATTCTTAGGCGTCTAAGAGACTCAAGATCTGATAACGCGTGAAAACCTTATGGTGCCAAATGAGAGCTGGTGTTCTATATATGTACTTTACTGCAATCGTTGATCTTTTCCTTCCATTTTAATTCAAATGTCTCGGATTGATATGACAAGCAAAAATAAACCAGCGTTGTGGCAACAGGAGACAAATTCAAAAGTCTCATCACTATTGCGAGAACTGTGTCTTCTAGGATAGGTTCAGATGTTTTTGTTTATTTAAGTTGCTCACAATATTTCAGAGCAGAAGGAGGTCTGTCCGCTGAGAGAATTTTTGATTGTGAATCTGTTGTACAGTGAAAGATGATATGTCGTGATGTTGTTTGTACATGTTTTGATGATCTGGTTGGATTTACTGACACACTCGAATATCATCGAACATATGTTTTCTTGTGGAGTAAAATCTTTTTCAGTAGTAGGCGGAAAATCTTAAAAGTTTTGAAAATAGGTCTTTTTGCCGTTCAAGAGTATTGTTGTGAACATAATTTTTGCATTTTTGACAGTGCTGTATTTTCATTCAATGTTTATTCATCTCTCTAATCATTTCTGTTACGTTTTTTGCGTGCTAGAGTTTATAATGGTTAGTTATGCACAAGTTCTTTCAATAGTCATTGTACTTGACACTGTCGTACATACACTGTTCATATATTAGTTTGTTTATACATGTTAATGTTTTAGAAATGATTGGTCATTTACTTGGACCGATCAAGTGATAGTCATTATAATGTGAATGTGAGGGCAAGTTTAAACTTCCTCATCTTCGATTTGTTAGAGAAGATATTCTTCTGTTAATGAGGTTTGTTGCAGTGCGTGACATCAGGTTCTGTTGTTGTGTGAAAGCTTCTAATACATAGTGTTTAATAGTTTGATAATGCAATGTCTGCAGGTTGTAATATGTCGATGAATTCATTCGCTTTTGACCAATCTGTTACTCTGGAACCAGAAACAGTGAACGTTATTCTAGATTCACAGCCATCCTCAGAACAGAGCACACAAACACCACAACCAACCTCAGTAGAGAAAACACAAATACCACGCGGATGGATAAAATCGGATGAAGTTATAAATCCACGATGGCATTGCTTTTATCGATCTTGTGAGAATGGGAGTGGGAATCAGTATTGTGCTAAGTGCACACATTGTGGAGAAGAGCTTGACAGAAAACCCGATAAATTAGAATTTCATATATTACATCGTTGCTCACTGGAATCTGTGAGTAGAGTCGAATACATGCGTATTGTAGAGCGCTTTTCAAAGAGAAAACGTATGGCAGTAAACACATCAATTAGATCTCAGTTAGGATTTGAGACGGAGCAAATGGCTTCTTCAAGTCATTACCAACAACATCTACCCAAATACTTTAGTCCACCAATGAGTTTAGACATATTAGAAGCTCATCATTTAAGGTTTGTAGATTTTCTAGTAACCTCCAACGGTTCTTTCAATGTATGTTGTAACAAAGAGTTGGGGATATTTATGTGTGGCATCAACCCCAGCTACACTCTTCCTTCTAGAAGAGTAGTCTCAGATAGGTTGTTGCAAAAGCGGTACAATGAGTGTCTACTGGAGCTGGGAGAAGAGTTGAAAAGTGCCATTGATGTGACAATAACTATGGATGGATGGGAAGATGTGTCTAATAATTCAATTTATGTTGTGATGGCTATCACGAGTGTAAAACAGTGGATGGTAGATATTGTACACTTCACAGGACAACCAACAGCAAATGCATTGCAGCAACAACTGATATTGTCAACCAATAAAAGTCTTCTTCCATTGACATCAGTTGTTGCCTTTGTGTCAGATAATCCAACCACTATGATAAGATTAAGAAATAATCTCGCAAGCTCAAATCCGAATATTTTACCCTTGAGATGTGCACTTCATCAACTGAACCTTATCACAAAAGATGTGTCATCTCATGATACTATGAAATACGTCTTCAAAAAAAACTGCAAATTGATTAACTTTTTTACAAGTTCCCACTACTGGTCTTTACATTTCAAGACATGGGGAGGAGAAAATAATATTAGAAAATTCCTATCTAGTTTTTGCGAAACACGGTGGTATTCGACTGTACTTGTATGTCTTGGTGTTGCATCCTATCATAAAGGATCTCAACATTGTGTCGAAAAATCAAAGCAACCTAATGAACCTCCCATCAACAAGGATATTTTCAAATTGGTGGAGGATGATTATCATTTTGCAATGAACAAAGAACTTTGCAAATTTATTAAGCCCATAGCTGATAGTATAGCTCGTCTGGAGCAGAGTTCAACCACATTAGATCAAATTTTTGCAAAACTTATCAAATTATACACAATTGTAAAAGATACTGATGTTACCGAGAACTGCAGCCTATTCAAAGCGCACATGATCAAGATTATTCAAACAAGAGCTTCTGAATTTGATCATCCAATTTATTTTGTAGCTCTTTTCTTGAATCCTCAATATCAATCGGTCGCCATCCCTAGAAAGAAGACATACAACAACATTCAAAAAGATATTGCAAATCTTGCAAAAGGATGGAGATTCACCAAGGCGGACACAATATCTCTTCTGGCGGATTTGAACGAGTACATTAATCGGAGTGGAGTTTTCACAAACAATCAAACCAAAGACTGTGCAATCAATTTTTGGCAATCACTTGTTGGTGCAAATGCTTTGCATGTCTTTGCTTTGAAAATTTTTTCCATTGCTGCTCATAATGCGGCAGGGGAAGGATTGTTTTCACAGCTCTCATTATCAAAGACAAAAATTCGCAATCGCATGTCAGTCGAACGCATGAAGATGCTTGCCATTGTTAGATCAATTCTTAACTTACATTCAAAACCGAATTCAAGATATTCTTCATTGCTAGCCCTAGAGCAAGAGAGTTCATTTAATATAGCACTTGAAGAAGAAGAAGATCTAAATATGATACCGGCTGTAGAATTGAGTTTGGAAGATCTAGATTTTACTTGCGAGGATAATGATGATTTTCATGAAGATTTTGATTCATATTTTGATTTTGTTAGATTTAGACAAGAATCATTTCCATATGTGAATGAAACAACAATGGAAACTTAGACAGTAGTGATAGATGAAGAAGATTGGAATGTAGACGATGTATTAGTTTGAGAAATGTAACAGTATAATTTTATATAAAGTCAAGTTTTTTTTTGAAGAGTCCAAAGTACATGTATGTATAATTTTTTGTATATACATACGGGCATGCCCAGGGGCATGGGGCATGCCTTTCAAGGTTAAAAGGCACAAGGGGGCATGCCTCCGGAAAAATATGCGTGTCTCCAACACTAGCTGTGGCACACTTCAGGTGTTACTTGTTTGGTACGTAGTTCAGCCTTGTTACTGATCATCAGCCCCTCAAGTGGTTGATGGAGTCCGACAAGCTCACATGGAAGCTTGCACGGCGGGCTCTCATCTTACAGGAGTACGACTTTTAGGTAGTGCATAGACCTGGAGTTGCGAACATGGATGCCAATGGTTTAAGTCGGAACCCATGCACTAGCCAGGAGGATGACACTAGAGCTAGATGGCATGGTGAGGTTGAAGAGGAGATGGTGCCTGGTTGGCATGCATCTGCCTTCATGTGTTGGTTACGTGGAAACTTCAGCAGAGAGGATCATATGACATCTAACTCTAATCAGAGAGTAGATGGTCGATATTCAGATCCTAAGGTTGAGGATGGTGGTGTGAATCAGCGTGATGTTCATGATGATGCATTGGTGTTGGAGTTCCTACGGACCAGCATGGTGCCAGGCACAGTGGGTGCCAAGAAGCAAGATCGTGTTCTCCAACGGGCGAAGAGATACCGATTGGAGGGATCACACGTTCTTCGAGTGTGGGAGGACAATAGGGTACGAGTAGTACCACATCCAGCTCAAAGAGCACGCATTGTGAGCCATGCTCATGAGGAGTTGGGACATTTTGGAGTGAAGCGTACACATAGCTTACTCCTTGGTCGGTATTGGTGGCGTGGTATGCATACTCAGGTACAGCAGTTGGTATCACGTTGCGTAGTTTGTGAA